GGGGTGCGGTGCGAGGGCGGGGGGCGGTTGGGGACGCACCTATGGGGACCAAGCGGGTGCCCTGGGGAGGGCGCGGGGGTGTCAGTGACGCCGACTCTGAATGCAGAGCAGGGGGCGCTAGGTAGGGCAGGGGTGGAGGAGACACACTGCAAACACAATGCCGCAGCCGCCACCTCGCGCCCCACCAATTTCCGGCTGCCACTGGGGTTTAGGGGTTTTTTTGCCCTTGCTCGCATCCACCACTCATGCCTCGGATTGCCCCCGCGACAGCCCGCCACGCCACTCACAACAGCTGCAGGACCCTCAGGCGCGACAGCCTCGCCCATTCCTGCGGCAGCGGCCCAGCCAGCGCGTTGCCGCCCAGCCGGACCTCCTCCAGCGCCGCCAGGCCGCCCCAGTCGGGCGGCAGCTCGCCCGTGAGCCCCGTGGCTGTGAAGTCCACGGCAGTCAGCTTTGAGAGCGCCTGCAGGAGGCTGGCGGCGGGCAGTCTGCCGCCGAACCACCCCCAGCCCTGCAAGCTGATCCGCACAACGTTGCTTTGGCCGTCGCAGGCGACGCCAGTAAAGGCCGTGCAGTAGCCTCCGGCGGCGCCTCGCGCGGCAGTCCAGGAGTCGGCCAGGGCGCCGACCTTGTCAATGGCTGAGGCGATGCCGAGAAGTGCCTGCAGTTGGGCTGCGGCCGGGTCTTGGAGGGGCTTGGCGGCTGCCCAGACGGCGCGGATGTGCGGGGTGGGGGGGGGATTGAGGTAAGAGGGGCTGGTGCTTGAGGGAGGGGGAGGCGCGCCATATATTGGGGCACGAGTCGAGGGTCCTCAATTGCTGATGGCGGCACTCATGGGTCCGACTGCACGGTACTGCTGTGCTTTTGCGCGAACGTGCGCAACGCTGTTTTCATGCAAACCATCTATACCAACACATTTGGGTGCGGCGCCACGCGCCGCCGCGACACGTGACGCGCGTGCCCCGGCAAGGCTCGCTGGCGCCGCTGACGATGCCAGGCCGGCATGCGCACCCGTCGCCACCGCCAGCACGAGCACGAGCGTAAGGCCACGCCCAAGAAAGGCCATACCGACGCTGTCCTTATATGATGAACGGTGTCACCCGTTAGCGCGCTCTGATGGCAAAGTACCAGACCGTGGACCGATCTTGTTGCGGGTGTCTCGGGTGGGATCAAGCGTAGTACTATTGTGTGCAACAAGCTTGTAGCTTTCTATGCGGTTCACGGGCACGAGAGTGTGAGGGCTGACGTTCCGGACTGCGACGGCACGCGCGAAGCGCTGAAATCGAGTGTGCTTGGGCTAAAGAGCGTCAAACAAAATCTATCACGATGCGTGTAAGCGATCAGACCACGCCCAGTGCCTTTCTGCTGGAGGGGTCACAGCCGCCACGAGTGCGGCAGCTGCCTTCTGCATGCCCGGGCAGCGTGGACTCGGGGGCAGTGGACTTTGGAAGTGCATTCAGGGGCATTCATCCCAGGACCTCGGGACCATAGACATCCCCCACCAAACCTCTTAGCAGCTGGTGGGGGTCAGAAGCGAGTGCCCTGTGCAACCGGTTGCATCAATGCATCTGATTGCATCACCCTGAAAAAACTATATGCAGCCCGTGCACAGCCGATTGCGTCACCCTGTGACTGGTTGTACCACAGAAACTCCAAAAGCATGCACCCCACGCCTGGCTGCAGGCGCCACCCCCATGCGCTGCTGACGCCCGTGCAAGTGCGCACGCTTGACAGGCACACTCAATTGCAGCCAGCACCTGCAATGGATGCCACCACAACAGCTGTGTCGACCCTCGCGGTGAACAGAGAGCGGTTGGTGTCGTTTTTCGTAGCATAGGAAAGTGGTCAGTTCCTGGATGGGAAAGGAAAGAGGTCGTTCCTTGGACAACCCCTTGCAGCACCTGCAACGGCGGGCAACCCTCATGCAACACGCCGTGCCTGCCTCCCACGCGCCCTAGCTTGCAACAACTGCAATGGAGAGCCCAGTAGCAATCATATGTGTGTCTGAGGACAGCCCAGATTTCCAGGGGCTTCACCTGTACTCCGTTTTGCATAAACCTGCTCGGTCCCCAGCACCCCTCTGAAGCCCTCAGGCACCCAGCTGTAACTGATTTCTGATTACAAAATCCCCCGAGGCTTAGCATCTTTGGAATTGTAACTGACTACAAACCCCGAAACCGATTGCAGCCTCATGTGTAACTGATTTCATCAGCCGAACCCACCACAACCGCCAAGAGGCAGCACCCACCCCCCTCCTTGCGGAGAGCCCCGCGTGAATCGCATGTATGATTCCACTGCGACGTTTTCAATGACAGGCAAAGCGTGCCTTTTGACGTATTCGCAATGTGGCACAGGAAAAACAAACATTTTACACCAACTTTGCAGTCATCTTGCTGTGTTCACCGCCCCGCAAATCATCAGACGGCATATGATAGAATGTTGAAGAGGGCCCGATTCTCAGGCACAGTATATAAGATGCCCAACAGGTTGATTCTGCTGTGCCATCAGCATTGAGCAAACAGATATGCTCCGGTCGTTGGGTTGATCTTTCTTGACACACACCATCTTGCCAGTCAAGGATGCGAGAGGCCACGCTTGTCTGTGTCTGGATAAGTGACTCCATCCATCCCCTTGGGTGCATGTCTACCCAACTGCAAACTGTTGAAACACCAACATGGAGCACAACCTGCAGAGCTAACCGCCATCGCTGCCGCTGCCGCGCCTGATAATCTCCTCGTTGCGAATGGCCATCACAACCTGCGACATGCCGTGAAGCTCCGGGGGAAACGTTGTGGCCTGCTGCTTCCAGCCTGGGAGCACGTACTGCTGGGCCTGGAACAAACGAAGGTTGCGCTCAGGCACCACGAAGCAGAACACCACCTGCTGTGGTGCGGGACGCACACGTGCAAGCAGCTGCATCAGGGGCTGCTGCAAAATAGGGTGCCTGTATGCGATGGTCACCTGCATGAACCACAGGCAGCCCTTAATCATGACCACTGCGTCCCACGCGGCTTGGTTGACCACAGAGGACCGCAGGAACCAGTCCCGGTCGCCCGGCAAGCCATTCTGGCCCTCGTCAACCATGCGATGGATCCCCGCAGGCACATGCAGCACCAGCTGCGGCTGCCCTGGCGACGGCTGCTGCTTGGAGGCTCCACCAGCAGTGTCGGGGTCCGAGGCCCCTCCAGCACCTGCATTGATGTCTCCGAGCATCCCAATGTCGTCCTCCTCCTCCACAGAGAATGCAGACCTTGAATCTGCCGCCAGATCTCTCTCACTGCACGGTGTCCGTGCCTGCTGCTCGTCTTCAGCGCGCTGCCGCTTCAGCTGGTTGCTCCCTTCTGGCTGGGCAAGCCGTGGGCCAGGGTCCAGCGCAACTGGGCCGCCGTCCCGCACAGAGGCCCGCAGAAGCTGGCAGCACCACTCACCACCCCCCATGATGATGGAAGCTGCGCAGCCCTCAAAGAAGCTTGCAGCAATATCTGCCAGCGGACTGACGCCCCGCACGATCTTCAGCAGACTGAGCACATGCCAAGGGGGGTTGAGTCTTTGATCAGACCGGCATCTTTGTCACATGCAGCAAAAGTCAATGCTGCGCGGCATCTTTTTTTGCTCCCACGTTGAACCATTTCAATGAATGCGTTGACACAGCTAGCACTTGAGAGAACCAAGCAGGAACATAAGCAGAGCTCTTTCGCACCGTGTAGTCTCATGGAACATCCAGTGGCGGTGCTGCAACAGCAGCTGCTCCTCAACATACTTTGATGCCAGCTTGATGCCCGTGGGTTGCAGGGTATCCCCGTCGACCTTCACAGCAAAAAGGGCGCATCACGTGTTGTGTTGGCTGGAGGGTGTCAAAAGGACCATGGCAGCTGGCACGTTTGCAATCTGGCACCAAGTGCAACCCAGTTGATCCACTTGCACACACCTTGATGTGCATGACATCGTGTAGAAGCTCATGTCCATAGACAGAGGAACGCGCTGCCTGAAGGACATCGATTGCTTGCACGCCTGCCAGGGCATTGTCTAGATGACGCCGCCGGGCGATGGCTGCTTCGCTATCTTGAGGTGACAGGATCCCCCGGGCCACGCCGCCGTATAGGTAGCGCAGCTGCTGCAGCTCTTGCTCCTGCACATGCGAGAGCGAAACACGGAAACAGACTGGGAAGGGTGTAGATGGGGTATGCGGTCAAGCCTTCGGCTCGGCCCGTCAAGGCCACATGGATGATGTGTACATTTCAAAGCACGTACAAGTCAGCAATGGCAAACATCGCCAAGCGTGTGCCGGGCGCACCTCAGCGCGCTGCTTGTAGCACACTCGAGCAAATGTGCTGCAAAAACCCATGATGGATGACATCTCTCTGCCAGTGCACAGCCCCTAGAGGCATGGCCCCCACAAGCTATCTGAGCTGTAAGGCAGCGACTGCAAATGCATATGTTTGAGCCCCACAGAGACTAGTCACGCAGCTTACAACCACACCTGGGCGCCCTTGCAAAGATGGTGCCATGCAGATCTGTGTTCTGAGATGCTCCAAGACGGCAGGAAGTACTCAACCACACCTTCTTTGCTCCATTTGGAGAACAGCTTGGGGTTGGGGCTGGACAGGATGAGCGTGGGGACCCCGCCCTTGTACTGCACATCTGGAACGTAGTCATCAAAGATGAGCCAAACGTTCTTCTGGCTCAGCACATCTGTCGGCGCAGCAACAATTGTGATGCAACAGGGGTAGCTTAGCAGTTGTGGTGAGCGTGTTGTTTGTGTTCATGAAGCATCGGGGTGTCGACAGGGGTGATGGCGTGCTGGGAAGCCCAGTACAAGCCCCAGCACATGTGCTCGTCAAAAGGCCCCAGGGACAGGGGTGCACCCACCCCTGAAGGCGTCGGGGCCACCCTCCAGCACAGCGACCTCCTCGCGCGTGTAGTCGAACCACAGGCGCAACCTGCTGCCGCTGGTGTCACCAAAGTCGTACACGAACGCGCGCCCCTGCTGCGCCAGCCAGCGCATGAAGTAGTAGGCAAACGTTGACTTGCCGACGCCGGGAGTGCCGGTGACAAGCACTCCACGGCTGATCTTCCTACCCAGTGTGACGTCCATAAGCTGCCGCAGCAGGACGTCATAGCATGCTCGCACTAGTATGGGCACAACCGGGCCAGCTCGCCAGCCAGGGGGCCGTGCAGCAGACAGCTGCAGCCACAGAGATCCGTCATCATTCTCAGCGATGTGGGAGCCGGGGAGCTGCCGTGCGAACTCCATGTAGGCAGTAGCCAGGCGGCCTGCATGAAGGGGCAGACAGCCTGGTGAGCTCAACCACTAGTTGCCAGCGGGCGGGCAATATGATATCAAGTGTGTCCTGCCTTGAACCATGTTGCTGGGATGCAACAGGCCTAGGGCACTGCAGGCCCACAAGTACAGATGCGATGAAGGGGCCCGGGTGTGAGGCAAGCCAGCAGGTGATGGAGCACAGCGTGTGTGGAAAGAGTGGGACGTGGGGGGGGGGGGGGGTGTAGAGATGCAGAGCAGGATGTATTTGAGCGGTGTCAGCACGGACAATCAGGAAATGCGAACGAGGAACTAGGCACAAAACACAAGTGCTTGCTGCAAAAAGCGCCTGCAATGTGGGGCGTATGTCACAACACAGTGCTTGCAAGGTGCAGCTGGGATTCCACAAGGCCAGCACTGACCATTACCTCCACCCGCCCAAACCAGCAACGCCTGCTGTGGCAAACCCCATGAATCCTGAGCCCCAGCCAAGCAGTGATGGATTGTAAAATTCACACAAATCCCACCTGATGCGCCCGCTCCTAGACAGCAGGGAAGCACGTGGTGGCGGCGATGCATGAGAAACACCAGCACAGGCGCAGAAGAAATGGAACTCAGTGGGTAGCAGTGCGCGTCGCGTGAAGGAATGGAAAAAGAGCCGTAGCACTATGCGAGCAGTACCAGCACCGGCATTCTGGCAATGAGTATGAGGCGAACTGGGCTCGGCTGGCAAGGTAGCAGGCCTGGCTCTGAGCTCACCTGCCCTCTCGCGTGCCAATGCCAAGATAGCAGCCCTCAGGCCGTCGTCATCCCAGCTTGATAGCACAGCTGCAGTATCCTCTGGAATGTAGCACAGCGCGCTGGTCGCATGAGCACGTCTGCCAGAGTCATCTGGAAACAGTAGCGGCACCTTCTGCAGGAGGCGCGCCCTTGCAGTCTGGCGCGCCCCAGCCTCGCCTGACATTTCTTGATGTGGGCACTTGTGCTTGCCTGGCCTGCAATAAATACAACCAGTTGCATGCTCTCAAATTGTGCACGCCTGGGACGAGAGCTCCCCGCATCGGCATGGACACCAGCAGAGCGGCGCTCAGCGCAAATAGACGGCACCCAGACGGCACCAGAGCGCTGTCATGCAGGACCCGGCCTGTGACCTTACCTGGCAGCAAATGAAAGCAATATTTTGCGCTCAGCCTCCTTCAGGGACAGGCTACAGCGCAACAAACGGCTGCTCGAAGCGGCGAGGGGGCCCAGCGCTGTGCGTGTGCCTGCCGTCTGCTCGCAGGCGTACCACTATGGCATCACCAGAAGGCCTTCGCCAAGCCGTGCACTGTGCGAAGCCTGGAGGTCCAAGCGACTGACACCACTCTCCTCTTTCCTACTGGAGCACGTAATATGTGTAATTCCGTCCGGGAAATTTGATCTTTCTCCCTACTGGAATCATGGAAACGACACCAATCACGTTTCTTTCACCGCGTGGGTGAACGTGGCTGTTGTGGTGGCGTCCATTGCAGGCGCTTGCTGCATTGGGTGAATGGGGTGTGCCAAGGGGGCTCCTGAGCACACCCCACAAACGATCAAGAGGCTGTTCGCAACTACAATACAAAGCAATGATGAAATATAGTCAACTTATAAGGCCACGCAAGATCCGCCCGGAGACATCCTGGGTGTGCCCGTTAGGTCAGGCATCCGCACTGACACAGGCTTCAGCAGCGCGAGGGGGTGGCGCCTGCGGCCGGGCGTGGGGTGCGTGCTTGTGAAATTGCTTGTATTGCTGCAGTCAGTGACAGGGTGGTGCAATCAGATGCAATCGATTGCACACGGCAGTCCCTTCTGACCCCAACCAGCTGCCAAGGGGTTTGGTGGGCGCTGCCCATGGTCCCGAGGTTCTGGGATGAAAGCCCCCTTGATACACTGCCGACTATAGGTGGGAACCAGATCGGGGTGCGCGGAATGATGCGTGACCTGGCTACCTGCCATATGTCCAGGCAAATTGCACAGCAGTTTGCAGGTACTGTCGGCTGCCAGGACAGACTGCCCTCATCAGCAGTTGTGTTTGCAACCAGCGCTGCAGTGGCGGCCACAACTATGTGGGCTAGATTCATGAGAGTGATCGCATGTGTGGCACGTGGTAGCTGCAGCAAACCCAACCTAATGACAGCATAGAAATATGAACCTTGGGACGTTGACAAATAGCACAGGCACTCACAAAAGCCAACTCGCAACACCAGCACTGCTGAATCTTCCACGCGCGTGACGTGTAGACGGGTCAGGCTTGCACAGTTGATCTTGTTGACCGCAACGTAGGTAATCTCCCCATGTTGGCAAGGCTGCCATCATTAGTGCGCGTTGTCTTGAAGTATCTCAAGGTTTCCCAACGGTTGCACAGGTGTGCAGTGTGGTGTGCGTCATCCTGCACACCTGGTTAGACCAGGCAGAAGGTTGATGGGTTCACAGAGGGACTCTGCAGCATGCTTCATCGCTCAATGTGCTGCACCTTCATTGGCATCAGTGTCTCTGCTGTGTGCGCCACACTTGGTTGCCCTGCTGCCGCCACCAGCCCAAACATGACAACCGTATTGAGCAGACACAGTGATCGGCTGAAGCATCGAAGACAGAAACAGCACAGCCACCCACAAACAGCCTTATACCCATGTGAATGCAGTCGTCGATGAATCCTTGCAACCCTCATCTACTGACCTTGCGGTGGTCAGGGTGTCTCGCATGGCTGGGGGAGAAAGGACATTAACCGACAACCCAGCCACTATCTGCACATGCAGTTGCAGGTATGGGTGCGATTGAGCCATGGTCATGCGGCACCCTGGGGTGCAAGGGACCCCGGGGCATGACATGTGTCGACGCCACCGTGGCTCTGGCGTGCTCCTGCGCCGGTGAGTTTGTTTTGATTACTGCCAACGCAGGAAACAGTCTGGCCTGGCTTCCCATTGCATGGTCACACTCACAAAAAGCCCCCAAGCACAGGCCTGCGACGCTGGGATGAATGACTGATGGTGTGGAGGAGGTGTGCAGCAGTCGGAACGCACATCGCTGTAACATGTTTACAAGCCTCAGCACTCCCGTTCAATCCTTAAAGAGCCTCTGAACAAAGGATATCATACATACGATGGTGGTGCATGCCCTGTAGAGATTGGCCAGCCCGTGGTTGGGTGTATTTCAGGGGGCCGGGCTGTGTGAGGCTTGATCGAAAGCCATGGAATCAAAGAGCCCCGCAGAGGTGCGAACGGCAGCCAGGTACACCCCGCGTCCCAGACTCGCCCAGCCTGCGCAAGTGCTAGACCGGCCACAGCTTGCTGCTGAAGCCAGCAGCATACGGCTGGAAGATGAATCGAGAATCTCACGAATCATCATTGTGGGGCTGCGGTGGATCGGTGCATTGCTGCTGCATTTTGCGCACGGCCAACCAGAACCAACCCGCTGCTGTGCGCGCAATCACTGCGTCGCCCATGCCAGGGGCGCGTCAAGGCGCCAGTACCGGCGGCGCTGGCGAACAAGACCCGCGATGAGCTGCTTGGCATGCTGCTGGACGCGCTGAAAAAGCTGAAGCAGCGGGACAGACGGATTGAGGGTGCGCGCTGCTGAGCTGCGCTGAGGCATTCGGCAGGACTCGCACACGCCAGCCTGCGCCGGAGCTGGCGCATGCTGGCATGCGTTGAGATTGTCCGTGCTCATCAGGCAGCAGCTGTGGTGGGGCGTGCCGTGCTGGTCAACATCTTGCATGCCCCCTCATTGCCGTGAGACCTTCCGCCAAACAACGTCTCCCCATCTGCAGAGCTCTCAACGCCCGGCGCCGCCAATGGCTCGGCCCCGCCCTCACCGGGGCCCCAACACGACGGCGAGCTTGGGGCGATGAGGCAGCAGCTCGCGGACCGCGAGCGTGCGTGGCAGCTGCGGGAGCAGCAGCTGGCATCGGAGGCCACCGAGCTGCGCGCGCAGCTGGCGGCCGCGGAGGCGCGCGCGGCCGACCTGGGGGCGCAGCTGTCCGCGGCGGAGGGCGCTGCGGCGGCGCTGCGTGATGCGGAGGAGCGGTCCGCGGCGCTGGAGCAGCAGGTGGCGTCGCTGCGTGGGGCGCTGCGGGAGATGGCAGAGGAGAAGGACGCCGCGTTCACACGCCTTGGTGGGTGCGCGCTCCAGAGCCGCGTGGCGCACACGCGCACATGCCCAGGAGGTTGTGCTCTGGCCGGCCCTAATTCTCAATTTATACCCCTGCTGCATTTGATGGACACAATATGTGGCAAAACAGATGGGACTGGGGGTGCACACATGCTCAAACAGGATGGGGCACAAGTATTGCCAGCAGTCGGCTCGTTGCACGCGTTCAACACCCCAGAGCCCCGCATGTCCTCGTGGCGCGCGGCGCCGCCACACAGCACACCAGCAAAATTCCAGACCGCGTGGCACGTCCCGACCCCGTGTTCAAACACACGTGCGCAGGTGAGGCGCGGGAGCGCGCGTCGGAGCTGGAGGAGGCGCTCCACGAGAGCGGCGCCGCGCTGCACGCCGCGGTGCAGAGGGCCGAGGACGCGGAGTGCGCGGCGGCTGTAGCGGCTCAGGCGGAGGCGGGCGAGAGCCTCGAGGTTCGGGAGCAGCTGCTGGCGGCGCAGGCGCGGGCCCAGGTGCTGGAAGGCGCAAACGCAGACCTGTCACGTGCCCTGGAGGAGGCGCAGGCGACGGCGGCGGCAGCGGAACACCGGCGGGCAGACGAGGATGAGGAGGGCGGCCGTGAGGCAGAGGCGCTGCGGCAGAGGGCTGGGGAGCTGGAGGCGCGGGTGGCGTCCCTGCAGGCGGAGCGAGCGGACGCCGCGGAGGGGCGCGCAGTGGCTGAGGCGGCCCTGGAAGAGGCACAGGAGGAGGTGCGGCGGCTGCAGGCGCAGCTGGAGGAGGCCGCCGGCGCGAGCGCTTCTGTGGAGGTGGATTCGAGGCTTGAGGCCGCAGAGGCGGCGTCGGTCGAGGCGTCAGCTCGTGCTGTGGCGGCAGAGGAGGCTGCGGCGGCCGCTGCGGCGGCAACAGACGCGACGGCTTTGGAGCTGGCTGCGGCGCGGGTGCGTGTTGAGCAGCTGCAGCGTGCCTATCAGCAGCAGGGGGAAGAGCTGCGGCAGCTGCAGGAGGATTATGAGCAGCTCCAGGAACGGTTGGACGAACAGCAGCAGCAGCAGGAGCAGCAGGAGCAGCAGGAGCAGCAGGAGCACGAGCAGCAGGAGCAACAGGAGCAGCAGGAGGCGAGCGGCAGCCATGAGGAGGAGGGCGCCCTGAGGGAGCGGGTGAGTGAGCTGGAGCAGGAGGCGGGCGCACTGCGTGCCGAGCTGGGTGCCGCTGCCGACCGGCATCAGCAAGCGGCGGCGCAGCTGCGATCGCAGCTGGAAGCCGCACAGTTGGCGGCCTTGGCGGCTGCGGAGGCTGCGGCAGCGGGCAGCGTTGCGGGCGGCGGCGACGCCGCTCTGGAGGAGAGGGCTGCCGCGGCCGAGGCGCATGCCGCCGAGGCGGTCGCGCGGGCGGTCATTGCGGAGGTCGTGGCTGACGTGGCGCAGGCCGCCGCCGACCAGGCGGAGGCGGCGGCTGCTGCACTGGCTGGGGCGCAGGATCGCGCTGAGCAGCTGCAGCGTGCCTATCAGCAGCAGGCCCAGGAGCTGCGGCAGCTGCAGGAGGATTACGAGCAGCTTAAGGAGCGGCTGGACGAACTGCAGCAGCAGCAGCACCAGCAGCAGCAGCAGCAGCAGCAGCAGCAGCAGCAGCAGCAGCAGCAGCAGCAGCAGCAGCAGCAGCAGCAGCAGCAGCAGCACCAGCAGCGTGAGCAGCAGCATACTAGCAGCAGTAGCGACGGCGACGATGAGCACGCTGATCAGCAGCAGACATCCGCGGCCTCGACAGAGGCAGAGGCCCTGCGGTTGCGGGTGGGTGAGCTGGAGAAGCTGGTAGCTGTGCTGAGTGAGGCCGCAGATTGGCATGCCGCATCAGCGAACTCCTCGTCCCCTGACGCCTACGGCAGGGTCGCGGCCGCCGAGGCGCGTGCCGCGGCAGCAGAGGCGACGGCCAGCGCCGCGAGCGCCGCCGCGGCCGAGGCCGAGTGCGAGGCGCAGCGCGAGGCCGAGGCGGCGCGCGCGGCGGCGGCCGAGGCGGAGGCGCGGGTGTCGGAGCTGGGCGCCGCGCGGGCGCGCATCGACGCCCTGCAGCGCTGCGCTGAGCAGCGTGGGGAGGAGCTGCGGCTGCTGCAGGAAGCTTACGAGCAGCTCCAGGAGGCGCGGGGCGGCGGCGGTGGTGGAGGCGGCGCCGACGGAGATGCGGGGCCAGAGGAGGAGCTGGGGCAGCTGCGGGAAGCTTGCGGGCAGCTGCAGGAGCGGGCGGAGGAGCTGGAGGCGCAGCTGGTGGACGCTCTGGAGCGGCTAGAGGCAGAGGGGCAACGCGCGGAGGCGGCTGAGGCGGCCGCGGCTAGGGCAGCGGCGGAGGCAGAGGCGGCCGCGGCAGTGGCTGCGGCGGAGGCCGGCGCGCGCGCGCCGCCGGTGCCGGCGGCGGGCGAGCCAGAGCAGGAGGCGGCCGGCGGCGCGGGAGAGGGGGCTGCGGGAGCGCAGGCGCAGGGGGAGGAGGTGAGGGCGCTCACCGAGCAGCTGGCCGCGGCGCGGCGGGAGGCGGAGGCGGCGCAGGTGGAGCTGGCGGAGGCGAAGCGGCGGTTTGTGGCGATAGCGCGCAAGAAGCAGGCGGAGTATGAGGCCAAGCTCAAGGCCGCGGAGCAGCAGGGCGGCGGCAGCAGCGGCAGCGGCAGCGGCGGCAGGGGCGCGGGGGCGGCCGAGGCCGGCGGCGGGGATGGCTCGCGGGTGGAGGCGTTGCAGAAGCAGGCGGCGGCGCTGAAGAGCCAGTTGGCGGACGCGGCGGCAGACAAGGTGCGGTGGGCTGGGGGGAACCGCCGAGCTACTGAGCGGCCCCGTGTGCCGCACGTCAGGGGGTAACATGCTCGCGGTCTCATTCACCAGGCCTCCCGCTGTTTGGCCTTCTTCAATCCTTGGGGGGTGTTCTTGTCCTGATTGAGGTTGGCTGTCCTGACATGAGCGCCGCCCAAAACCCCATGCAACACCCCGCACTGCCCGCCTCAGGTGGAGGCGGCCATGCGTCTGTCTGCGCTGCAGCGGGAGCTCGACGCCAGTCGTGCGGTGGCGGAGGAGTACCAGGCTCTCATGGCGCAGCGCGACGCGGCGGCCGCGGCGGAGCGGGGGCGCGCAGAGCAGGAGGCCGCGCGGGAGAAGGTGCGGGGCGGCGGCCAGGGCGCGGGGTGCACGCGAGGCCCTCTGCCCCCACTTTGCGCCCGCAAGAGTCGGCGCGAGGCAGTGCGCCAGCAGTATTCAGGTACGTTTCAATCAGGTGCATGCAGGCTTGCCCCCTGCGCTCGCTTCAGGCCACACTCACGCCGCTTTCTTACCATGACCCTGTTTCTCCCTGTCTTCCCTCTCTTCGTGACAGGCCGCCCAGAAGGAGCTGGCTCTGGCGCTGCAGAGCCAGCTGGCAGCGGCGGAGGACACTGTGGCGTCGCTCTCCGCGCAGCTTGCGGCGGCCGAGGTGGGGAGGGGGTGCGGATCGCGTCAGGCGCTGAGTGCGGTTGGGTGAAGGGCCGCCCCTGATCCTGCTAGCACTCCCTGATGAGGACTGTGGTGCTTGGCGTCTGGCCAGTTCCCCCTTTTTAGAGTGAATATGGAATGCTGCACCACCTGACAGAAGCTGTGGCTACATCACCCCCCCCCAAAGCATCATTTTTGTCAACAACTCTGCAGGCCCGCGCCGCCGAATCGGTCGCCACCGCCAGCACCGCACGCGAGAGCGTCAGCGCGGACCTGGCAGCGGCGCGCGCCGAGGCCGAGGCCGCGCGGCGCGAGGCAGATGCGGCGCGGCGGGAGCTCGAGGCTGAGAAGGGCAGGTGAGGGCGTTGATGATGTCAGCGGGGAGGTATCCAGCATTTCAGCCGCACGGGCTGTGGGACCCCTGGCCCTCCTCTGACACCACGGCTTGCTGATTTTGACGAACCAAACACACCCATCCCTGCATCGTGTCCACCGTGCTGCCCCCTCCCCCCTCCTTTTCCTCCCCAAAGGCTGCTCAAGGCCCTGGAGGAGGCCAAGCGCCGCCTGGCGCGCGCGCAGAAGGCGGCCCACGCGGCTGAGGTGGCGGCGGCCGAGCTGCGGGGCAAGGGCGACGCCGAGCGCGAGGCGGCGCGCGCGGAGGTGAGGCGCACGATCACCCTTGATCGTGCTGCATTGTGCTGGCTGTATGTTGATCTGGTTGGTCCTTGCTGAGTACGCCGACGCACAGGAGTCAATGCTGGCATGCTATCGACGCGCACCCCAAAACGTGCTCCTGACAGCGCCCCTCCCCTCAGGCCTGCTGGGCATTTTGGCGGCTCACAACCAGCTCCCCCCGCCGCCCCGCTCAACAGGTGTCCGCGATGCAGCAGCGGCTGGAGGCGGCCAACGCGGCGGCGGCACGGTCTGACGCGGAGCTGCGGGATTATAAGGCCAGGTGGGCGGGGATTGGATGGCTAGGCGCGACACGGAGGTGCAGGGGCGCCCCAAGTGGCTGTCAAGCAATGGCTCAACATCTGCCGCATGGAGCCACGTTGGGGGGTTGTTTGGTGGCAGTGGCAAGAGAACAAAGCGCAGCGCAGCGCCTCCCTGCCAAAACCTGGTGCTCGCCGCAGGCCTCTGGCTGTACCTTGAACCTTCCCCCGCCCTGCTTCTTTTCATTCTTTGCAACCTCGTGCATGCGCGTGCACATACAGGGCTGGCGCCCTGGTGCGTGCGAAAGACGCTGAGCTGTCTGCCGCACGCCGCGAGGCCGGCGCCGCGGCCTTGGGACCGGCGGCGTCGGCGGCTGCTGAGCTGGAGGCGGCGCGGCAGCTGCTGTCGGAGGTGCGCCGTGGAAACGAGGATAGGCAGGGCCGCCGGGATGAGTCGTTGCTCATGTTAGTCATCCGTGCGCCCTGGCACTGTGCTCATGCTGAATCCTTGCCGCGCCCTTGCATGCTTGCGGGCATCGCCTGGTGGCGCATACTTAAGTGTTGCAGCAGCCACTTCTCGTATTCAGGCACGCGGAACCCCCCGCACCAGGGGGCGGCCGCACCGAAGGCCACGCCGACTCACGCGCTCGCGCGCCCCACACCCCTCTCAACCTAATCAACCCTGATCACCCCATTTCAACCCCTTCGCCCTTTGCTCAGCTGCGGGCGTCCCACGAGCAGCAGTTGGCGCGCCTGCAGGACGCGGCCGCCTCGGAGCTGGCAGCAGCGCTGGCGACCCGCGACTCCGAGGCGGAGAAGCTGCGCGGCAGCTGCTCGTACTACCAGGGTCTGCTGTCCACGGCGCAGGCCGAGGCGGACGGCCTGCGGTCGCGGGCGGATGAGCTTGAGCGTCAGCTGGCGGAGGCGCGTGCGGCGGCAGAGGCGGTGTCCACGCCCGTCGGC